GGGCTTTGGACATGACATACTCACGTTAGAGCCATTTGCAATAGCAACTATGTTGTACGACTTTTGTTGAAATACACGTATCATTACTTTCAATCTCAATTGCTTTCCGTGTATTTTGGTTTATTTATTGTAGCACAAGACTATACAGTGAAATATCTGCCTCTGTGTACGGTTCGGAATCTAACCCTGAATTTAAGCGTTGTGAGTCCGTAATTTGCCGCTGACTCACCTGAAGTACATGAGAAGTTTTTTTTACTCTTAGTAAAGTTCCATGAGAAGAAATATTATCAGACTACTTATCACCCAGTAGATAAGAAAACAGTGATACTTCTTATTACCCATCTCTGAAGGAAACGGGGTGATTTTAATTGTAACTGTAATTGTAATTGTAATTTTAATTAATTTTAACTTAGATACACTTAGAGAGCATGACCGGAGGTGGCTACATCGCTAGTAACAAAGTTGTAAGGCTGTAATATAACCTACTCAACCTACGTTAAGCATATTATTCTGTGAATACCAACTTTTAACTATAATCTGTTGTAGGACATATAGTTCGAGTGTCTTGAAATATTATATCAAATCTCAATATCGTAATAAAAGTTGATTAATAAAAAAATATTTTCTTTCCTCAATTATGAAGATTTTGATTTTAAAACGTAACGCTAGCATTGTTAGGAATTAGTGAGTTTTAAAATTTTTTCATCAAACGATTACTTATGAAAAAATCTGGTTTCGATATCCCAGCGTGTAGCTTTGCGCCAACAAACAAACTTATGGAAAAAGCCTTCCAGCGGCTCAGCGGAAAGTCTTCAGGCTTACGACACTAAAAATTGAGTTTCGATAGCCGTGATGGGCAAAGCACAGTTCATTGTGTAGCTTTGTACTCAACAAGAAACCAAATAACCAACTTACGAAAAAAAAAAGAAAATACTCTCTTTTAAGTTGGTATAACATTTATATATGTACTGCAAGTGATTTAACTAGTTCACAGTTCTTCCACTTACTGACTAACCACTTTATCAGGTCCCACCGCCCATACACATTAGTAAAACACTGTTTATTTGCACGTGTTGTGCTAGATGATAGCTTGAGCCATAAAAATGTAAAAATTGGGGGAGAGTGGGGGGGGGAGGCATACACAAACATCGTTAAGGTTTTCCGCGTCTTACTTAACCCTCTATTACACATTGTAACAAACAGGTAACAGAGCTATCTTTGTTGCTTAATCCACATACAAATGATTCATTTCTAAAGTTTAATGCTCTTTCTTCCAGTCTAACTAAATCATGGAATTATTTTTGTTGGTTCATTAATTGAACAATGTTACTTTTAGGTATCGTACCCATTTATAACTTACCAAAATATATTTCACTAAAACAAGTTTTTGTGTAGTATAGATTTATCTAAGTATTTGTTTGTAATCATGCACAAAGTTACACAATGAGCTATCTGTGATATGCCCACCACGGGTATCGAAACCCGGTTTATAGCGTTGTAAGTCCGCAGACATACCGCTGTGCCGCTGGGAGGCTTATTTAAGTAAAAAAATTCAAAGAAAACACTTTCCGTCGTATTTTCGTAATGCGTCCAATATGGGTTAATATATAATCCAACCCTACTATGAATATAAGAAAGTCCAACTAGACTGTTGTCAAGAGGAATCTGACCTCTACTAAATCCACTTCAGATATCATGGTTTGTATGATTGTAGTTAAGAGTTTATCAACGAGTCAATAGAGAAGATTGCGGCTAAAAATCCTTGGCGTCTGACAGATAGAAATGACGATTGAATAGGCTTGTAAAATGTCAAATACCAGACTGAGTTTTATATAACTGATTTTTCAACAGTGGTCGGGATTTAGCTTTCTCCAAAAGTACTAACAAGGGATATTACAAACATTTATATATTTCAAACTATCTTACATACAAACATGACAGCTCATTATCAGCGATTAAATCTGTGGACTGCGCATGTCTTGTTTCATGACAGGGGTTGGGTATTTTGATTCCTTTAGAAATATAGAATAACACCCAGAGTATACTTGAATGTTGTTGCTGATCGTATCCACTCTAATGAACTGGGACTCTTCATGATCATACCCATTCTGATGAACCAAGACTCTTCATAAGCATACCCACTCTGATGAACTAGGAGTCTTCATGATCATATACACTCTAATAAACTGGGACTCTTCATGATCATATCCACTCTAATGAACTGGGACTCTTCATGATCATACCCATTCTGATGAACCAAGACTCTTCATGATCATATCCGCTCTGATGAACTGGGACTCTTTATGATCATACCCATTCTGATGAACCAGGAGTCTTCATGATCATATCCACTCTAATGAACTGGGACTCTTCATGATAATATCCACTCTGATGAATTAGGACTCTTTATGATCATATCCTTTCTAATGAATTGAGATTCTTCATGATCATGCTCACTTTAATGAACTAGGAGTCTTTATAATAATGTCCACTCTAATGAATTAGGGCTCTTCATGATCATGCCCACTCTGATGAACTAGGAGTCTTCATGATCATATCCACTCTGATGAACTAGGACTTTTCATGAACGATAATGTAACAATTCACTGCAATCTTAATATCCAAACCCAATTCAACAAAGACGGCTGTGAATTCATTCCTACTCCCTGTCAAACAGCTACACAGTGGGGGATCTGTGCTGTGCCCGATTTTTAACGCGATAAACCGTCAGACTCACAGCTGAGCCACTAGAGGGATTACAGCCAAAAGATCTCAATTCAAATCAGGAATGAACTTGAACGTCGCGTTCACCACCAACTAGCTAAATATATAGTTCCCTTATTACCACTAACAACTCAAAAAATTACTTTATGCCATAACTTCACTTTTCTTACGAACAATCCGGTTAATGAAACTAACAACATCTGCCTGTCTAGTCTTTTCAGAAATGAATTGCATCTAGTAAATAGTTTCAATTCCGAAAAGTTTAATAACAACTCCTTGAACTCTCTGTCACCAACACTCACTCTATATTCAATGATTCCCTTTTTCACTGGATAGATGGCGCTGCTGTCATGCTAACTGTTGGCCCGTCTTTTTGTATAACGCATTTTTCTGTGACCATGAACAATCCTGGTTTGCCAATTGTCTGTATGAATTTAAAACGATCCGCTATACAAGAAGTACTGATAATAAATTTGTAATATTTCATTCTAGGGATCACGCACCCAAGTTTCCAGAATATCTAAACTCGTGTCTCCTGAAAATGAATTATAGTTGTGAAAAACTCAGAACAACTTTAGCCTGTCTATCCTAGATATCCTTATAAATCGTGATCCTAACAGTTTTTATAATGCTATATACAGTAAGGAAATCTTCCCTGGCCGTTGAACAAACGTTTCTATAGCATCTGTCTACAAACTTAATCTAATCGCTTGTTAACTACAACATTTGTTTTATCACAATTTTATCTACAGAACGAAATAAAACCTTTGCATCTTTTTAGGTATCCCGGATCTTTTCTCAGATTTCATCACTCGTGAATTATTGAATGATAGTAATAAGAAGAACTAAAAGAATTACTGTAACAAATTACTTCGTCTACTTACTCCTTCCTTGCATAACCTGATGGTTAAGGATATCGACATCTGGTGGTTACGGATATCATCTCGCAATCTATGGGTCACGAAGTTGAATGCCATCACCGAATATCCTCATCCTTTCTGCCTTCAGAGCGTTATAATGTGACAGTTTATTCCATTATTCTTTAGTATAGAGTAGCCCAAGAGTTGGCGGTAGGTGGTGTTGACTAACTGCCTTCCCTCTAGTCTATCACTTCTAAATTAGGGACAGCTATTGCAGATAGCTCTCAAATAGCTTTGCACGAAATTCAACAAACAAGCAAGTCTTCCTGATTTGGCTAATGAGAGCTTAGTTCTTATAAATCAACTCACTAAACTGTTAAATAGCTACTACATCAAATAAATAAAACTCTATTTAAACCTTCATACCAGATAAAACGTTTTATTTTCCATACAAAGTACCGTATACTTTTCCATTGATACACGTTTGGTAGCTGCATTAGCAAGAACAAAAGTCATTTAGCCGTACAAACCCAGGAACCCATGTGAATTTCTTACAGAACTGGTCACTTTCTTGTGATATTCTTGTACCTCCGCTATCCACATACATAGTTAACCTATATTGGACACTTAATCTCATCAACAGACTTCAAAGTTTTAGCTACGAGTTTCATAAACTTATAATTTAGAAATATTACCATTTTCATTTAATAAAATCTCTATATCTCGAATAATAAACAAAATTACGTTGTTATTTTTTAAAGCACAGAGCTACACAATGAGCTATTAGAGCCGTGCCCGCTGCCTCTATCTAACCCTGAATTTTAGTTTATAAGCCCACAAGATTACCGGTAAGCCGGGGGCCTCAACTTATTTTAAGCTTGTTTTAATTTTTTTGTGTTTAGCTTTATAGGTGTATTTACTTCTTTACTGACTTACTTAGATATTGAAGGTTTATATCCAAGTTTATAAACTGAGACGTTTATCAGTACTAGCTGATGATGCAAAAACTGTATAAAGGACAATGCTGGATAATGTTCTCTTTGCTTCATTCTTTTGTTATTAAATCCCTGATGACCTCGTTAGATGCTAATTGCATACTCTACTTTGTGGAAAGTTATAATTGACTCATTTAACTGATGAGTTATTTGTGTTTCTAAATTGAAAGCCAAAAGCCTTTAAAAAGTGAGAATATGCCCTATTTTAGGGTGTTTTTTATAACCTTTCTCTGGGAAAAATTCTAAAATAAAATATCCTTAGTACATTACCGGACAGTTTTCAATTAACCTACAAAAAAGTACGGTAATCGAGCTAACCAACTCTGGGTGATGGATGCTAATACACACACATAATTGATCATCTTTATAGTGAAATGTCATCTCAAATCTACATTATGTGCAGATCATTGCTTCTGCTAACCTATAAATTCGGTGACAGTATCCACTCGAAGCTTGTATCTGGGAACATCGTCTTTCATCAAGCTATGTATCTCCACCTCTGGGGTACACAGGTCATTACATAAATCTAAGGGGGAAAAAAGAAAAACATTTTTTAACATATACTTGTGTGCCAGTTCAAAACTGTGTAAAATATACTTGTGTGCCAGTTAATACAGAACATCTCGAGATATTTTTGAATACGTGTAACATATACTTGTGTGCCAGTTAATACAGAACATCCCGATATTTTTGAATACGTGTAACATATACTTGTGTGCCAGTTAATACAGAACATCCCGATATTTTTGAATACGTGTAACATATACTTGTGTGCCAGTTAATACAGAACATCCCGATATTTTTGAATACGTGTAACATATACTTGTGTGCCAGTTAATACAGAACATCCCGATATTTTTGAATACGTGTAACATATACTTGTGTGCCAGTTAATACAGAACATCCCGATATTTTTGAACACGTTATTCTCTCATGTTTTCCTTCTATTTTGTTTTTTCACTTCGTAATAATACAATTAACAAACAACTGATGAATTAGGTAACATGTTTGGCATTGGAAATTGGGTTTATACAACTACACAAAGCTGGAAATATTTTAAAATAAATATATTTAACGAAATACAATATATATTAATTATTTAAAATAAATTTGGTCGTTCATTCATACTATTTTGAGACTGTATGTATAAATCAAAATCAAATCCAGTAGAGGTTGATATGCTCCCCCCCCCCTCCCGGTGGTTCAGCGGTAAGCCTAAGGGCTTGCAGTGCAAAAAAATTCGGGCTTTGATGCTCACGATGGGCACAGAACAGAGAGCCATTTGTGCAACTTTGTGGTTAATAACAAATAAACAAACACGGGGCCAATGCATAGTAATTTTGCAATAATTATTGTAACTAAATAAATATTTCTTTTGCCTCCCCCCAAAAAACAACAACAATCTAATGTACTACAGTTATCTCTGCACATAGTACCATTAAATACAAAAACCTGTAACAAAATCAACTTTGATGTAACTTTTGTATTAACTAACTAAAAATTCTATTGATGTAATACTGTGGAATTCGTATTTTCAACTTTAATGTCACTTTATGCAAAACATGGACTAAGTGGCCACATCAGGGATAGTATAGGGTTGGGGTACAGCCGTCTTTGACTTTTAACTTCTGATCAGAGAGAGGGAGGAGGCCAGTCAGCACCTGCTGTCCCAAGGGTTTTGTCTTTTTTTTTTGAACAGTCACTCTAATAACGCACCCACACCTGAAAGGGAAGACCATGTTCAGCGGTACCGCGGCGCAAGCCTTGGACTTTCTGATACGCAGCCCGGAACGTTAGTCACAAGGCCATGCCTATCGCACAGTATAGTGCCATTCAGGTCCCTCGTTATTTGTAACTTGTTGATTCAATACATACTGTTAGAAGAAAAGGTAAATCAAATTTAAAAATTATTTTCCAAGTTACGAATACATAAATCATCCAAGTATCATTCCACGTAGCTAGGCGTGGTCTAATGATTATTGTGCCTGGTTTGTGAAGTGAGAATTCATGGTCGTTAAACAGAATTGTCGTTAAACCGCGCTCCTCGCTTTCGGACCGTAAATGCACTATAAGAGTGACAGTCAAATCCCCTCATTGCTCAGATAATTGTAGCCTAAAAGTTGACGGCAGGTGCCGTTAATTATCTGCCTTTCCTTTAGTCTATCAGTACAAAATTAGGGACGAATATGAGTTCCTTTTGTGTAGCTTGCGTAAACATTCTGAAAGAAACAAACAATCACTCCAGGTTATAACATAATTGGTTTGTTATGAACTTCGTGCAAAGCTACACGAGGGATATCTGCGCTAACTATCCCTAACTTATTAGTTAAAGACTCTTGGGCTACTTTTTTTTTTTTTACCAACGCATAGTGAGATTCACCGTAACATTATAAAGCCCCCAGAGCTGAAAGGGTGAGCACGTTTGATTGGACGGGGATTCGAATCCGCGACCCGCAGATTGTGAGTTGAGCGCCCTAACCACTTGGCTCTACCAGGCCTTGAGATATAGAAAAAAATTAGCATATATATAACAGATATAAATAAACGACCATTCACTGTGCAGACAGCTCAGTAAAAAATCAAGTAAACGAAGCATATAGTATACAAAAGGCCTTTTCTCGAAATCACATCGAAAATAATAGTTATAAACTCGATCTTACCAGTAATGGTTCCCACGTGACAAAAAGTCTCACTGCATTCGTTCTGCCTTTCGCCATGTTGCTTCTGGTGAGGTGTTCGAAAATTGTGGTCGGTGTTTACAGAGTGGTCACAGGAAGTGTGAATATCGTCCACCTTGGTTCTTTGCCATGTAGTAGGACAGGAAACATGTTGTGAACATGTGTCCTAAAATAAAATATCTCATCACGCTTAATAGGCAAGTTAAAATCATGATTATCCTTCGTATTTCAAGTTATGAATTAAACGTTTTATTAGTTTCTACCAAGTTAAACAAAGTGGAAAATTGTATCCACAACACGTTTTGCACAAGTCACGTTTGTCCATATTTTCTTCATAGATTTTTGACAAGTCTTAACCGCCAAAGTTGTATTTAGGGTTGTATTTTGAGAAGTGTTTTCATCTAGCCTTAAAGAAATTAAAAATCAACACAAATTATTCGCTCTGTGATAAGCGCTGATGAATTTGATAGAAGTAAAATATTATAAAAGAAACCTCACATCAAAGTATTTTAATATATTAACAACAGATGGCGATACTAGAAAATTAATTTCAGTGCTTTGTTGAAAATATTATTATAAAATACCTTAAGAGATTGTTTAGTGGATATTAACAAAAACTATTATTATTTTATTAATTGTTAACATAAACAGTGATCAAAACCAGAAATAATTTTAACAATATAATTATGCTTTGTCCATACCAAAACTCCGAAGAAGCTTCACTAACAAACATTGTACAACACTACTCCGCCTGTAGTTACTGAATAATAGAGAACAAACGCTCCCATTAGACAGACACATCAATATGTTTGGTAGTTTCTTATATTAAGTGCATAACGAACGGTCATTACTTTTTTGGTCTCGTAACGTTTGTAACCTGGAGCAACACCTGACCAGTACTATAGTTTATGTGAGCTTTCTTAATTTGAGCTATGCTAATTTTCAAACTGTTAACTGACCTTTGAACTTAATACAACGTATTAAGACAGTTTTCAAATAATATTTTATATTACTTTACAAATAAAGAGTTTTATTGATAATTTTGCATTTACTCAAAGTCACTATTTTTTAAGAAGCTATAATATATTATATTGTTTTTTACAAAAAGGATAATTTATTTGTTTTCTATGAATACAAAATGGAAGATTGTCCCTCAGTTAATTATTTAACTTTCTGCTTAGAATGTATTACTGATTGTGTTTGCTTTCTTTTAAAAAAAACGTTTCTATGTATATTCCGAACACATACTCCGCACAAACTGCGGATTAAAAAAAACAAAAAAAACATTCTCACATGCAGCGTTATGATTAAGTTGAAGTGCTATCCGCAGTGTGATCGCCGCGTGGTTAGAGTTTCAAATTCTAAAGGTAGAAACTCTTAAGCTTACGTCTCAGTCACAGGGGGGTTGTAGTTTGCATATATTTAGAAAACAGTATATAGTACTCTCTAGAATTAGATAACGTTATTTATGATAATCGTCTATATGTATGCTGAGGTGATATCAATTAACAAACACATTCGACGTTTGCAAAGCATCTTTCACATCTCATGTAGATAGGACTACCCACACCTGGAAGTCACTAAACCTGTTATGAATATTACTTACAATCATGGCCATCCACAGAAATTTTCCCAGGGGGGGGGCAAAGTAATTTGAAATTGTGAAACATATGCTGAATAAATGAAGAAAGAACTGTTTCTCA